GTGAATATACTGACAACCTAGCTCTATACCCCTCAAGTCAATGCAGCTGTTGTCTCAATTTCAGTACATCTGGCTATCTAGTTTTGGCTTTCTGTTTCATCTTCCATAAACTTCAGTCTTCTCTCATGTATTTTTCGCTCTATAAGACGCACCAGGCCATAAGGAGGAAAACAAGAAAAAAATATTCTGAATCCTAGAAGGCAGAACAGCAAGAGGGATCTGGTTTCTGGGATAGCCTCTTGCTGTCCTGGCTTCTGGGATAGCCACGTGCAGCCTCTCCCAGGCAGCAGGATGAAGGCTCCCCCTGCCCGGAAGAGGCTATGTGTGGCTAAGGCAGAAGCCAGGACAGCAAGCGGGGCTCCGTTCCTCCTCCCGCTTTGCTAAAGGGGCGTTGTGCAGCTCTCCTGCACAGAGAGGGAGAGCTGCGCAGCGCCCCTTCAGCAAAGCGGGAGGAGGAACAGAAGGAGCCCCTTCTGTTCCTTCTCCCACTTCGCAGGAGAGGCACTTCGCTGAAGGGGCACTGCGCAGCTCTCCCTCTGAGCAGTGCCATTCGCTCCATAAGACGCACCCACATTTCCCCTTACTTTTTAGGAGGGAAAACGTGCGTCTTATGGAGCGAAAAATACGGTAGGTTGGATGAACTACACATTTCTTTACTGATATATATACTTATTGTTGTGGTGTACATTATATCCTCTTGACTTGAAGAATTAAGAAAGTTCCAGTTTTAGCCTTGCAGAACTGGGGCCGATTGCTGATGAATAAACATAGCAGCCATGGCGGCTGCCTCCATTTTAAAAACCATGTAGGTGGCATGACTTGCCATTCAGGAAAGCCTTCTGTCAATTTCCTCCATCCCTCTTTCTTCCCACCCACTCTTGTTGGGGTGAAGAATCAGAATGTGTGCAGCCTATGAATGCTCCCTGCCTCCACCTTCATGAAAGGTCAATATATCTAAGCCAATGTACTATACTCTTATGTAAATATAATTGCTACTTATAATACCGAAATTTCAGTATTAACTTACAGAACTGAATTTCAGCATGAATAACACATGCAAAGACAATCAAGCTGTTATTGCAGAGAAAGCTAATCAGAATGGTTGAATTGTACCTGATTGGAAATAATCAGCAGAAAATGTAATAAATATTAACACAGTTTTAGAGATTTACTTAGATTACATCTGATTAACTTTCTTCTTCTTCTTGATAGAGCACTCAAATGACTAGAAAAAGAGATGGGGTGGATGAAAATGTATTTGAGTATTAACAGTTTTACAAAGCAAAGACATAATTTATCGATATCTAGTTATAGTTTGTGTTCTAAAAATAATACAGTAATGACTCTTTTAAGAAAACTAGTTGATGCTGTCACAATCTTTTCCCCCTTCAAAACAATTGAAACCAATTGCAACTCTCTCTCTTTTTTTAAACAAACTATGTTATTGGAAAATCCAAACAAAATTAAGTACTCATCAGCCTAATTTATTTAAATAGGGGAGAATTAAGCATATGCTTCTCTTTTTGATCAAAATCAAATGTGTTCTGTCTTATAGAATCATAGAATCATAGAGTTGGAATATTTTTCATTGCTTTTCTTCTTCTTAAAACGGAAGATAATACTGTGCACGCCCCTGTCCCATTTTCATCTTTCTTTATATTTTAGCTCAGCTTCCCCATACTTTACATGCCCTGGTCTTCTAGAACATGTAAAGCCCTCCTCTTACTTACACAAATATTGGTTGCTGAAGAGTTACACTGTATGTTTGGGACACGTGCCCAGACAAGTTTGTGTGTGTGTGAATGCAGGATAAATGTGCTACTTCTCCCCAAGAAGGCTGGGTATGAATGAATGAAAGAATAAATGATTGTGCTTACTGGCTTCCTGTTCTGCCTGGTGCAATGCTATTGTTTCAAAGCACACCCATGGTAAGAAAGTTTGTGTGAAAACACTCCCAGGGTGAACCCAGCACAGGGAGGGGGAATTAGCGCGAAATAGCTAAAAAGCCCTATTTATTTGTGCTGGATATTAATGGAATAATATTTAATCTTAAAACATTTAAAAACAAGTGCCTTGTGCTTTTGTCAGTTTAAACCAGTGTCTCCACCCCCATCCTTCTGCCTGGACACTGAGGTCCAGTGCCGAGGGCCTTCTGGCAGTTCCCTTGCGGCAAGAAGCCAAATTACAGGGAACCAGGCAGAGGGCCTTCTCGGTGGTGGCACCTGCCCTGTGGAACGCCCTCCCACCAGATGTCAAAGAGATAAACAACTACCAGACATTTAGAAGACATCTGAAGGCAGCCCTGTTTAGGGAAGCTTTTAATGTTTAATAGACTATCATATTTTAATATTCTCTTGGAAGCTGCCCAGAGTGGCTGGGGGAACCCAGCCAGATGGGCGGGGTATAAAATAATAAATTATTATTATTACTGCTACTGCTACTACTACTACTAATTATATCTGCACTCATGAAAGTGTGAGGTTTGCTGCTTCTTTTCTCCCTCTCCAGTTAGGAAGGATCCCGCCTCCACGCTTTCTCTCACAGGAAAAATGCTTGCTTTTGAAATGAAAGTTCGGTGTATAATAATTCTGAACGTAGGCTTCTCTCCTCTCCTCAAGTGGCTACAACCAGTTGAAAATATAGAACTATTTCGCATACAACCTTGTTCTCTAATTATGCAACAATTACTGTTAGGAAACCTGCTGTAACAATTACCTGAAGTGACAGAACGATGGGATATTTTGTTCCAGAACCTGAAATACACTGTTATTTGCTTGATAACCCATTACTCTAGCTCAGGTGGCACATGAAAATATTTTCCTGGTCAGCCCATTTTCCTTAAGCTGCATTTTTGTTGCACTCTTTTGTTTTCCTATTGCTGATCCTCAAGATTCCAACACAGAAAACATGACTCCTGGTGTAGACATGATTGTTAGTCATTTCTGTATATATTCCCTGGTTCTAAAATCCAACACCATTTTTCTACTTTGATGTAAGTTCACACTGAAGTAAGCACTGGGCAGGAGATTTATCAAGAAAGCAATTTCTTTAAAACCAAGTTGGGTCGTTCCATATCAAGTGGTCAAATTTTTCTACCTCATGTCATCCAGTTTTCTTAATATTTTGTACACTTGTTGAATGACTTGATTGATTTTATTGTTTGCAGCTAATGGGCATTACAATACAATATGAATACAAATTGCACAGCTGCAAAACAAAACTGTAAGTACAAATATATGTGATCCCATTGAGATCCCAAGATGAAATTTTGCAGGTAGCTTTTAGAAATATTACATAATCAATACAATTTTGGAAAATTTTTAATCATTAATTTTTTAATCACTTTTAAAAATTTTGTAACTTAAATTTAAAAATTAAAGTAGGTCCATCATGTGACATATAATATTAAACCCCATGAAGTCCTGAAGAGATTGGTGTTTTTATTTTTGACATATCTCAATTCTGGACTGAGCTTTTAAGGCTTTTGTGTAGTCCAGCAAGGCCAAAATTGTCAATTTTTTGAAATTTCAGACCCTCATAACTCACAAACAGGATGAGATTAAAAAAAAAAGTTTAAATTCAAACTTAGTTTTGATCATTCAACAAATGTACAGAATATTAAGAAAATTGGATGACATAAGGTAAAAAAAAGTTGGATCACTTGATATGGAATGACCCAGTTGCATGTGAGCCTTGTAGCCTGGGTTAGTTACGCTGAAAGTTGCTCTAAAAACTGGAGGACATTGGTATTATGGGCTGGTGTCAGAAAAGAGAGAACCCTGGTTTTAATTCTCTACAAAATATTGAAGGTCACATCGCATAAATGTTTTCATTCATAAACGTATAGTAAAATGCTTTGCTCTTTCTTGCCTCTTTGCTGCAAACCCTGCTTCATTCATAATAGCTGTGCTTCGTGGTCCTTCCAGGCTGTGGGATCATGAATCCCAGGGCCATGTTCTCAAACAAATGAAGGCAAGGCCAATGTGTCTTAGCCAGTTCACTACAAACAAACGAGTGCGTATCTTAGAATGTGCCCCGAAGATTCTGGAATACATTCCAGGACACAATCTCTGCTGAACTGCTCTTTAGTGCTGGCAGGTAAGTCAACTCTGGGAGCAATATTCATCTGCCATCTCAACTGTTGCCATGTTGCTAATGAAGAATCATAGAGTAGGACTTGCTGACTACTGGAGCATTGGTTGGGATGAAAACCATGGAGGTAAGGGGGAGGGAATCCAGGGCCCAGCCTCTTGCTCACCTCAGGGCAATGGAGGGCCTCCATCAAGGACTTTGGGTCATTTAGCTGGAGGGAGAACGTTGGCCTGCATAACGGGGGTCTGTGGAGACAAACAGCCACAAAAATGGAATCCTAGACTTATATTCTCTGTTGTCGTTTAGTGCTAACTTGAGTGTGCCATATTTCTCCTTGATTCTGGCACTCAGATTTTTAAAGTGGTATCTACCAGGGCTGAGTTTTATTGATGGTATTTGAACATAAAAGCAGGGCTGGTGCTGTATCGCAACACTGATACATTTCAAGGCAATTAGATGGCGCCCAGGAGTTTTTAGAGCATAACCACTTTCAGGGGAATAACTGCTCCAAAGCTAGAAATGAGAAGAGATGCAGGGAAAAATTCTTGAACATTTGTAGGTGTCACACAGTGTGCTTTTCAATGAGGGGTGGGGTTGATGGAGGCATGGCTTTGACATAAGAATTGTAAAAGCATTTTTATTTTGAACCAGACTTGTGTTCCCTTCCCAAAGCTCTATCTTGTGTGTTAACCCAATTTTAAAAGTTCTCTGAGATCATGATAAAAGATCATAACGTGTGTATTTTTCTTTTGAAAAGAGCATAGAGGAGATTCATTCACATATATAAACCTATCACAGCCAATGATCTTTTTAAAAAACAACAACAACAACAAATAAACTGTAGCATGTCCATTGCCAGGAACGAGTAGTGGAATGAGAAGATGGTGACCACTGTTGCTTTATCCTAGGAATGTCAGCTCTGCTGGAGAAGAAGCCCGCAGAAGAATGAGAGAGTGTGATGGACTAACGGATGCATTGCTGTACGTGATTCAGTCTGCTCTAGGGAGCAGTGAAATTGATAGCAAGGTTTGCCATCTTTGTTTTTATAGAAACAGTACTCTGAAGGGGGGGGGACTCACATTAACAGAGGCACATCATACATCCTTCAGGTTGTAAGAATTTAATTTCAGGATCCTTTGCCTTTAAGGAAAGCCTGCACTTACTGTATGCTTATGTGAGATATATGTCTGTCATTCTCTCAAATTCATGCCATAGTTTGTTGTAGTGGCAACAGGTACTTAGCAGTTACGCCCAGAGGCTCAGACTTTGGGCCTTGCAAAGCCAAAAGGGTCTTCGTGCACAGTGTGGGTATAAAAGGAGAACCTCTGGGAAACAGAGGTGAACCGCCCTGACATCTTTCGAGGAAAGGCAGAATATAAATCTAATAAATAAATAAGCAGCATAAGAAGATATACTCGATGTGCTGGACCTTGAATTGTCTCAATGAAGGTAAGCTACCTTGTCTGCCTGCCGCAGTCTCTGCAAGAGCTAATATATCGGGATAGGGGGGTGAGTTGTGTGCTTTTGTGGAGATTTTGTTTGATGATTTTTACAACTTAAATGTAGAGTTTCATTAATGAATGACAACGGAGCTTGAATTATAGAGATGGCCATAACTTTTGTTGATGTGTGTTAAAACTGTTTGATGGACGTTAATTCTTCTGATCGCTGGGTACAGGTGTCAATGTTGCCTTTGTTTGGTTTTCCTTGTTTATATTTTCTTAGCCTTCGATATGATACTGTTTTGGATACAGTCAATATTTATGGTTGTTCCCATAATTTTTAAAAAATCGCCATGTGGGTTGGAAGGCGGAGGAGTAACTTAGCTGAAACAAAATGCTGCATATTTCTTTTTCTGTAAAATGGCAAGTGTTTCTGTAGGGCTTTATTTAAATTCTTCATACAGATAAACTAAGGTAAATTGGCAAAGCCTAATACTTACTCCCACGGGAACACCAGAAGCTTCCGAGTTTGGTCCATCTAGCATGGCATTGTCAACACAGACTGGCAGCAGCTGTCCAGGGTTTCAGGCAGGGGGAATTCCCAGCCCTCCTTGGAGATTCTGGGAGTTGAAGCAAGGACCTTTCGTAAGCAGAATAGATGCTCCACCAATGAGCTGCAGCCCTTGCTGAACATTAGTCTAAATTGGAATAATTTGGTGAAAATGTTAACAGCTTTGTTTTGTCAGCATCATAACTTCATGCCCCCTCTAGGTTATAATCTGCCTTGACTCCGTATTTAAGTATGGCACACTAAACGTCCCTACACTCACATGACCCTATACATCTCACCTGGACCCAAATTTTGAGGGATAACTCGTTTCAATATACAGTCATACCTTGGGTTGAATGTGCTTTGGGATGAGCGAGTTTGAGTTGCACTCCGCGGCAACCCGGAAGTAACGGAGCGCGTTACTTCCGGGTTTCGCCACTTGTGCATGTGCAGACGCTCAAAATGACGTCACGCCATGCGCAGAAGAGCCTGTTCTCAGGGTGATAACACATTTCAGGTACAAGGAGCTGGAACTGTTGCGGTCCTAATTTTATGCTGTCATCCTATTGCAGCATCATTTTTGGGGAGACAACTGTTTAGTAACCAGAATGCCTTATTCTACATTCTGAGCATCTACAGATATATCACCCACTGTTGGTCGGTACAATACGCCAATGCTCTCTTTTCACCAAGCAGCAACTGCTTGTTCCACTACTTCCCTGCATAGAGCCATCATGCTCTCATAAAGGTTAAGCCATTGATTTGGAGTTTACTGAAACACAGTATACTGAAATGGTACTGTAGATGTGACGCTCCTGTTGTTCTGGGTGGAAGACGTTACACTCATTTGGAAGTCCTAACTGAATCAGATTGTTTTCAAGTGGTAAAGCGAAGGTTTGATGTATTGTGTGTTGAATTGTCTCACCCCATCTTATTACGATACAATATTAAAACAACATACAGACTGTGTGTCCATACATTTCTGGTCAGATATTTTGTAATCAGCAGGCTTTGAAGGGGCTCACTTATCCAACATGGTGGATGCTTTCATGGTGTTGTTGTTTTTTGTTTAGTCGTTTAGTCATGAACGACTCTTCGTGACCCCATGGACCAGAGCACGCCAGGCCACACTGCCTTCCGCAGTTTGGTCAAAACTCATGCTGGTAGCTTCAAGAACACTGTCCCACCATCTCTCCTCTGGCACCCCCTTCTCCTGTTGCCCCTCCATCTTTCCAGGCATCAGGGTCTTTTCAGGAGTCTTCTCTTCTCATTGAGGTGGCCAAAAGCATTGGAGCCTCAAGCTTCACGATCTGTCCTTCCAGTGAGCACTCAGGGCTGATTTCCTTAAGAAATGGAGAGGCTTTGATATTTCTTGCAAGTCCATGGGGAATCTCAAAGGTCTCCTCCAGCAACCATATTCAAAAGCATCAATTCTTTGGCAAATCAGCCATCTTTATGGTCCAGCTCTCACTTCCATACATCACTACTGGGAAAACCATAGCTTTAATTATACGGACCTTTGTTGGCAAGAGATAAAAGGAACTACTGGCAAGTTTGGCCTTGGAGGTCAAAACAAAGCAGGGCAAAGGCTAATAGAGTTCTGCCAAGAGAACAAGCTGGTCATCACAAACACTCTTTCATGGTGTAGAAGTTCTCAAATTATATTGGAAGGTGTCTTCAATGCACAACAGACTCCCTGGCAGGACTAAAATATGTTACTGAGCTTGCCAAACTTACTTCTTCAACACCAAATTGTATATGATTCTTTGCCTTCACAATGAGATGATAAGAGTATTTATCTGCTTGAAAAAATGTGATAGAGAATATGGTAAATGTAATTACTTTCATTGCCATGAAGAAAAATATTTGGTGCTGCAAAGAAACTGGTCAGAGCCCTCTCATAGCCATATCTGGGTGGTAGGCTATTTAGGACTGCTTCCTCCTAGAAATTCACAGTCAATTGGATTCCAGGGCACTTTGCAGAAGTAGATCCTAACCTTGATTAGTGTCCTTTTAAAGTTTTGTTGAACTTTGAACTGCAAACTGATTGGATTTTGGCTATAACTAATAGCCTCTGGCCTGCAGAAAGTTCCAAAGCTCCATTTTGTGAGGTTTATGGAGCTTGCAGAATTTGATCTAATTAATATGTGTATTCTATTTCTGCTACTTAGAAAGCAATCCCTAGCTCTCTATCACTTTCCATTGTTTTTGCACCAAAAGGCAAAATGTTAAGCATCCCTAGATGTTCTAGACATTCTAGAGGATGGCTAGGCAATGTGGTAGCCTCCAGGTGTCATAGACTACAAAGTTTCCTCAAGCAGTATGTTCAATAGTAAGAGCTGATGGGATATTGCCCGGCCCTGAACTTTTCCATTTCTTTCCAGAGACAGAAATGTTTCACAGACTTGAAACATTGTAGATTAGATTAGATTAGTACTTTCAGGACTAGCTCAGTTGTCAAACACTAAATACTTAATGTGAATTAACCAAGCTAATGACATAAATTTGTGTGTGTGTGTATACAGTGGTACCTCGGGTTACATACGCTTCAGGTTACATACGCTTCAGGTTACGGACTCCGCTACACCAGAAATAGTGCTTCAGGTTAAGAAATTTGCTTCAGGATGAGAACAGAAATCGTGCTCTGGCGGCGCAGCAGCAGCAGCAGGAGGCCCCATTAGCTAACCTGAAGTGGTGCTTCAGGTTAAGAACAGTTTCAGGTTAAGTACGGACCTCCGGAACGAATTAAGTACTTAACCCGAGGTACAGTGTGTGTGTGTGTGTGTGTGTGTGTGTGTGTGTGTATATATATAGAGAGAGAGAGAGAGAAGAGAAGAAACCTTGGCTACAGATCATGGTTAGCAAGGGGGGAGCTTAACCACGGGCAAGGTTCAGACAACACCCATGCCAAACCTTCTCTTAGCTCAGTGTGCCACAGGATTTGAAAAAGACCAGGAAGCAGCTGCAAGCAGTTTTTTTCTCTCGCATGCTGGCTATTTCGTTTTAACAGCTAATTTTAGTTGATGCTCTGGTCATTTTTGCATTAGTCTAGAGACAATGTTATTTTGTGTAGCTAGGACATGTCTGCTAGCGTTATCTGCCTTTACCGTAAAATTTAGGGCCTGGGATGGGAAAGATTTTAGAGGGCCATGTTAAGTTCTTTTGGCATACTTTTAACATAAATCAAATATGTCGTGCTGAATATTTGTAAGAATGGCGGGAAGAAGCCTCAATAGATTCCTGAAATTTGTATGAACTGTGTCAGGAATCTCCCTAAGGACTGTATCATGGGAATTGGGGTTGCTTGTGTGTAACTTCCACCTGCTCCAAACTGCGTGAGGCGGTTGTGTTTTCCCCGGCTGAGCAGCCCCCCTTGGGCATTACTGCTTCAGTCGCTGGCAGAATCCGTCAGTGGGGTTTCCTAAACTTCCTCCAACATAAAAATTCCTTAACGGACAGCCTCCTTCTCGCCTCTCTGTGCGGCAGCCTTCTGCGCAGAGTGGGCGTGCCTATCGGTGGTCCTCTACTCTCCTCACTGATCTCACTAGAAGAGTCTCGGAGCCTCCCCTCCGAAGAGCTCTCAATCCCTTCTTTCTTCCTGGTGTCACCTTGCCTTTCTTCCCCAGCGGAAAGCCCTCTCTACCCCTGTACTGGTTCCCTCTCCGCAATCATTTGGGAGCCTAGCCTCTCCACTCTGCTCCGATGTCAGTTTCCTGACAGACTGCATCTGTGCAAAACATTCTATTTTACTTTATAGTGTTTTTAATTCATTTGCAATTATTTGCTGCTCAATGCAGTCCAGTGAGTGCACCAGGACACAGTGCAAAAAAATTATTACGCAGTAGTGAAGACTTCAGTTTTTTAACTCTGGGTTACAACAGAAGGCAAGCAGTTAACAATGATTGCAAAAATAATATTCACAATAACATGAAACCTTTTTTTATCACATTATGAATGAGTAAAAAAATTGCTCGAGGTCTGTAGCTTGGCAAAGCAAATCTTGCTATGACCAGAGAAGTTGCCTGTAGTATGAG